GAACATCGCACTAAAATATTGAAGATATGTAATAAAACCTATAATTAATGTAACAGTTAAAATAAATAAAAAAGCACAGTAGATATTTATGTTTGTAACATATATTTATAATCTATTATTACTAAATATATACAGAGTACTACACTTTTGTACTGTAGAACACAAAATATTGCCGCTTTTTACGAAGACATTAAATTATTTTTCAATCCTAAGTAAAATGACGAAAAAAAGTAAGTTTGGTTAAGCGTAAACTTCAGCCAAGAGATAGCAAAATGTTTAATTTTTTTAAATTGCTCCGTTCCGTTGCTGCCTGAAGGAAGGACAAAAACAAATAAACAAAAAAATCACACTTTCATTTATAATATTATATTAGTATGAATTGTTAAGAATGATAGATAAACTTTTAAAACCGGTTTACAATCGGCTTTTTGAGAGTGGAACTATACCGGTTACTACTATAACGGTTCTGAGTGACCAAAAACGATAGAAGCACAGGAAAGTGCAATTTCATGCTGCCAGATGTATTTCAACCCTAACCCTTAAAACGGTTTAACTCTATAGTTGGGTAAAATCTGTAAAATTAGACTGTTTAAAACCCCTATACAGATAAACTTTGTGGTTGATCATGACATTAAAAAATGGAAAAACATTTCATAGACTAGGCAACACTCGAATATTATTGCGTAGTATTATTACTTGTATTGACATTTAGCTTTCGTATTCTTTTACAAAGAAATACACCATAAAATTGTATAGTTACTTATGAAAAGTGATGTTCTTATCCTTATCTTTTTTCCAAGAGTAATTTTTAAATGATTTCACAGCACAAACAGTCATTTTGCGAAATTAAAAACACCGGTGCGTGACGTATGTTCACAGCGGACGTTGCTGGCGTAATGTCGGAACGATCGAACGAATACGCCAATATTGGCGCCTTTGAAATGGAAGCGTTTTAGGCGCGCGTACACGGTATCTGGACCTATAAAACATCTTTGTTCATGGCAATATAAGAAAAAGTGTGAGGGAGATGGACATTATTCCATCTCACTCGCACTATAGAAAGGGGTTCGTGACGGAAACATCCACTTTATCTCGCCTAGCCCCCATCCGTCAAATTCGTACCGTGCGATAAGGAAATTCGTTTCAAAAAAATTGTTAATTAAACATCGAGATGGCTAAGCGAGTTGATTTATTCGATTGTTCTCTGAACGAGTTCACAGAGGCTACCTTGTTATCTCCATGTTTTAGTTTATAGACTTATGGTATAATAGCTGTCACCCGCTCGCTTCGCTGGGCGCATGATAATATTTTATTGCGGAACCTATAGACATTTTTATGGGACTATCGTAAATTTCGCTTAGCGAGCGTCTACATTGCGAAATGAACTATACTAAATTTCAAGCCAATCGGGTGTATAGTTTTAGAGATCTCGTGATAAGTCAGTCAGTGGTATTTCGCTTATATATATATATACTAGTGATCTGCCCCGGCTTCGCACGGGTGATTTCTGGGTCTCGACAACAACACCACCCACCGGTTCCATTTGTTAATCGTTCAGATCACCCGGGGACCCACTCAAACACACAATAAATTTTATCAAAATCGATCCAGCCGTTTTCGGGTTTTAACGAGACTAAAGGAGCTATAGATTAAAAGTTTTTACTTTATATTTTTAACGCCCCCGCGCTGACCTTTGTGAGTGGGTTTCATAAAATCCGTTCTTGGTAATTTTTAACATGCCAAAAAGAATTTTCAGGCCAATTTTTACACCTATTGGAGCTATAATTTGAAAATGTGATTTTTTTTATCGTGTTGCATGTATATATTTGAACTGAATAATTCAGTTCAATCAATCATGACAACTTAATTGCCCAAACTGACTCTCTGTTCTACCCAAGGTTAGATGGTAGAGAATGCCATATAGCATTAAGCTCGCCTTTTGTACAAATATTTCGTGCAATAAAGAATAAATAAATAAATATCTCTGGGACCATAAGACCTAGAGAATTTATTTTACCAAGTAGAGGTCAGTTAAGAACGGATTATACGAAATTCTACCCGCAAGGGGGTTGTGGGGGTTAATGTGGTTTTTTTTTTAATTAACGCCCTGCAACCTTTGATGCTGCCTCCACACGCTTGGTGTTTGCCACATACACCATACACGAACAAACACCGACCACATTCACCCAACATAAACACGGCATCCACACGCTCGGCGAACGTGCTACGGTGCTAGTATATTCCGGATAGGCAAACATGACGGATGACGAGCTTGGGGCAGCGATTACTTTCGGGTTGACCTATTTTTATTTAAAAATAAGGCAATATGAATTGCTCTCAAGGTTATTGTATTGAAGATTTTACATACCATGGAATCTCAAATGAATTCTCAATTATCACTGCTATAAATTGTCTTCAGGTTCAAATAAGTTTGGTTTGAACGCTTTTATTCGTATTGCATAACTGATTATTATGTAATACGTGACTCTAAATTAATCTAAAAACAAACTTTTATGAAATTAATGCTTGACTTTCGTTCGACATTATATTGAATCTATTTACTTTTAACATAGATTATCTCTTTATTCATAGCGCCTTATACAATTTAATAGCAATATTTTCAAAGCGCACAATTGCTTATTTTTTATGGAATGAAAATTATAAACAATTTTTTTAAGCGCTTCGCCAAAACTAATCGTAGTAATACATATGAGCCGTTTTCTTCATAAAACGTTTATTTTTAACAGCTTACAATAACATTACAAAGTTATTAATGCAGCTAGTCTTAGGTCTTTTCTATGAAAATGTAACGAAATTTTTACTAATCCAAGTGTAATAAGTTGGTCAACTATTACTCGTTAACTTCTTGATTCTACGTAGCGTACGTGATAGTTTTCCTTTTAACTGCATTATATAAACTACTATTGGGTATACTTTTCACATGTCGATCTGTTAAGTTAGTAGAGGGGGGGGGGGGGGGGGGGACACATGACTCTAATGAAAAATAGCACTTTAAAGCTAAATATTTCAGAAACGGACCTCAGAATCGAAAAGATGTTGTTCAACACCCCCAATGTTGTTTGAAAGACCTATCCAACGATACCCCACATGATAGAATACACGTAAAAAAATCATCCTCCATTTACTTGTGTGGGAAGTACCCAAAATAAAAATGTTTTTTTAAGATTTTATTTCATTTTTTCTAGGCGTGGTTAATATTTATAACTGTGCCAAATTACAGATTTGTAGCACCTAGGGTCTGAGCAAAATCGCGGACGGACGGACGGACTTGGCGAAACTATAAGGGTTCCTTGTTGTGTAACTACGAAAGTCTAAAAACGATTAAATCAGGATATACTAATCTTATATAATTTTTTCGGATTTTATTTTGGGAATTGATGATCAATGATCCTGCTTTCACACGGGGCTCCTTATAAAAAGAGGTGAAATATTTGTTACCCAATAGAAACATTTATTAGGAGTCAATCACATTATTATTGGGAGGTCTCTAGAAAACTTAAAAAAAATAGGTGGTAGATCTACTAACTTTTCGAAGTAGAATTGGTAGTAAACTCAACTTCTGAAATCATATTTACCTCCGAGACAAATTTCGGATTGGTAAGATTGGCGTAGAGTATAATAATAATAGCCACTAGTAACTCCTTCCGCCGCCCGCAAGCCGCAAGCTCGCGCGTACTACTGACTGATTGCCAAACGTGTGGATACATAGCAAACACGTTTGTCGAACACTCTTTGATCGGTGCACAAAAACCGACACCAACGCCGATCACTGGCATTCACATACAAACATACAAACAAACAGGCAAACAACCATCCACACGTTCGTGATTGCTGTTTGGTGTATGCTGTTCGCCGTTGTTTGGCAAGCGTGTGGATGAGGCATGTGACAGTACATGTCGGCGCACGTCATCGCGCCATGGCCAAAAGTGGAGGACGCGGGGGGCGCGGACCGGTCGTTGACCCTGCGACAGCGCAGGCGTTTCTGTCGGACACTCAGCTGCGAGACGCGGTAGCAGACGGGCACTTCAGTATTCAATTTGCGTCGTGTTTGTTCAGAGTATTTTTACGGCATTATATCTATAGTTAAATACAGTCCACTTATTTTATTTACAAAGTCCTGATAAGGCCTAAACATATGGTCCTTCGATCGCAAAACATTTACCAGTTTTTTGCCGTAATTAACGTCGACATTGTCAACGGTCACCGTGCGAACTTTGAACCCACGGCCACGTATATTGAAGAAGGAAGTCGTTCCCGTAGCAGCCTGCGTCATCATTGAAGACGCTGATGTCATCCTGGGAGTATAAAAACTGTATTTGAGTGAGCTTGTTCCAATTAGTTATTTTTCCACTTTTTTTCATGCCGAGAAAATCATTTCTACATATTTCATTGGCTATGTTATATAAGTAATACTTCATTTACTTTTAATAAGTAGGTACCTAATTAACTTCAGTGCTTTAAAAATTGCTTTGTCATTGCAACGTTCACTTGTTTAAATTTAAATGCTTATTCCGTTACAAATATCAAGCGCTCAAGTGTCCATTCGTTGACCTTGCGCTGATTCATATTTTACCTGCGCGCAACAGTCCTTTTCATCCTAAAGTTATCGACGCTTTCTTTTCCTTTGCTGTATTTATATAAAAATAAAATGGCAGATAGTTTAAAAACTTTATTGAAAAAGCGTAGTTCGATAAAATCAAAGCTTACAATTTACAACAATTATTTAAATTTAATTAAAAGTAGTTCTGATATTTCTGAGTTGCAACGTCTAGACTTAGCGGAGCGTTTTAATAAATTCGAAACCTTATATTCAGAATTTGATGAATTACAGACAAACATAGAAGTGCTTGCCGATGATGCGGGGTCTGCGTTGGTTGAGCGTGAGGACTTTGACCGTCAGTTCTATAAACTGGTGGCCATCACGCGCAGCTTGCTCGGTGCTTCGTCCAACGGTGCTGGGTCAGAGGCGGGCTTCAGAGATGCTGACTCAGGTGCACACTGTTTTAATAAGAATAGTTTTGTTCGTTTGCCTAAAATAGATTTACCTCATTTCGATGGGAACTACCAGTGCTGGCTCGAATTTCGAGATACATTTACGTCATTAATACACGATAACTCTAGTATCAATGAAATAAACAAGTTCCACTATTTGCGCGCTTCATTGCAGGGAAACGCAGCCTTAGTTATTAAAAATATTGATTTTAAAGGCGATCATTATAAAATTGCATGGGACATGTTGTGTGAGCGGTATAACAACAACCGTCTCCTTGTCAATAATCATATGCAAGCTTTGTTTGATATCGATCCTATAGTCAAGGAGTCAAGTGTCTCAATCAGAAACCTGGTAGATACACTTAATAAAAATGTAAGGGCACTAACAAAACTAAATCAGCCTACTCAATATTGGGACACATTATTAATATATGTCATGACTAAAAAATTAGATTTGACAACAAGTCGTGACTGGGAAGAGCATAGGAACAATATTTTAAAAGGTGATCCTACTTTAACGCAATTTTGTTCCTTTTTAAACAGGAAAGCGGATTGGTTAGAGTCCGTCGAGTCAAATATCAATTCTTCTCAGACGAATACTACTGTAGCTTTAAATAATAGTCATACATATAAACATTCCAATTCTAAAGTCACTCAAGTTAATAAAAAATCACATAATAATTTTAATAAAATAAATAAATGTCCACTTTGCTCCCAGGCTCATACATTATATAAATGTGAATCCTTTAGAAACTTAACTATAGAGGATCGCATAAAAAAGGCAAATGATTACAATGTTTGTCTTAACTGCTTGCGCGTCGGACATTCTGCTAAGCAGTGTAAACTCACACATTGCAAATATTGCAAAACAAAGCACAATACGCTTTTGCATTTAGAATTTAGTGAACCTAACCCATTTTCGAATCCATTACCTCCTGCTTTGCCTTCTGCGTCAAACATCGCACTATCAGCCAATTCCTTGCAGCTTGCTACTCCTGCGCATGTTTTACTGTCCACAGCTATGGTGAACGTGATTAGCGGGACGGGTAAGAAGTACACTGCGCGGCTACTGCTGGACAACGGTAGTACCGCCAACTTTGTTACGACTATCAGAGAAACTGGGTTTGTCACATCGCGATACGAGCACCAAGGTAACGGGTATTAATAATCACATATCCACCAGTACACAGTCTTGTCACCTCACAATTGAGTCTTTATGCTGTGTATTTACTGTTGATATCGAGTGTCATATTTTACCCGAAATAACAAAGGTTCTACCGTCTTCATTCGTGCATATAAATCACGTCCCTATTCCTTCAGGTCTAACACTAGCAGACCCGAGCTTTAATGTTCCGTCGGTCGTAGACATCCTGGTAGGGGCTGAGGTGTTTTGGAATGTCTTAGGCAGTAAAACTATAGATTTAGGGAAACATCTACCTAAATTGTGCGAAACTAAATTCGGTTGGCTTGTCTCCGGTAGTATTTCGCATCAATCTAGTTTTATTTCAACACACCTTTGTCAGCATTCCAACGTCACTCCCGACCTAACTCAATTTTGGGAGCTTGACAACGTGTCGTCAAAACATTCACTTTCTCTTGAAGAAAGAGTCTGTGAACAACTTTTTGCCCAAACCACCGTTCGTAAAAATGATGGTAGGTTTGTCGTGACGATGCCCTTAAAAGAGGACCCTAGAACTTTAGGGCATTCGTATGAAAACGCAAAAACGCAAAACGTTTTCTATCTCTGGAACGGCGATTTAAACGCGATCCTTCATTTAAAACTAAATATTGTGAATTTATGAGAGAATATGAGCATTTAGGTCATATGACTTTAGACTCTGACTGTACTTCTACGCCTAAAAACTCCGTGATCACATATTTCATTCCACATCATGGAGTCATTTGTAGCTCTAGTACCACTTCTCAACTACGCGTAGTATTCGACGCATCAGCCTCTACCAGTTCGGGCGTGTCTCTTAATGACATTCAGATTGTCGGTCCCGTAGTGCAAGACGATCTCTTTTCCATTTTAATACGTTTTCGTCAACATAGATACGTGGTCTCAGGTGATGTAGAGAAGATGTATAGAGCCATTGAGCTAAGTCCAGTCCAACGTCCTCTACAAAAATTATTTTTCGGTTTGATCCTTCAGAACCTCTTAGAACCTATACATTAAATACGGTCACCTATGGTGCCGCTTCTGCTCCTTATTTAGCCACGAAGTGCCTGGTAAGCCTGGCTGATAACATTGAGGATAGTCAGGTCCAGCGGGCCATAAGACGTGACTTCTACGTTGATGAATATTTGAGTGGAGGAAACACCATAGCTGAGACTGTAACAATTGCAAAACGCGTACAATCGGTTCTATCTTCCGCTAAATTTAACTTACACAAATGGCGATCAAACCATCCTCAAATTCTAAATCAAATTACAAACAGAAACGAATCGTATGATACTCATACGTTGCATTTTTATAAGCAGGGTTTAAATTCACATCAATCTAAAACTTTGGGTCTTAATTGGGATTGCGATTCTGATTCACTTACTTATACTATTAACATAAAGTCGACCACTAAAGTTACTAAACGTCACGTCCTCTCAGTTATCAGTCAGATTTTTGACCCATTAGGCCTTGTAGGTCCATGCGTTGTCGAAGCGAAAATAGTCATGCAGCGTTTATGGCTACACAACTATGACTGGGACGACGAAGTATCGCTCGAGGTCAGAAACCTTTGGTCGACATTCGAAAATACAATAACATCTTTAAATAATTTAAAGATTCCTCGTTGGGTTTTGCGTGAAAACTCTAGTACGCATGAAGTACACGTCTTCACCGATGCGTCCGAAAAAGCTTATGGCGCATGTGTGTACATTCGGTCATGCAGTAACAGTAATACTATTGGCGTACAACTTCTAGTTTCTAAAAATCGTGTAGCGCCCATCAAGCCGACAACAATACCAAGGCTTGAACTATGTGGAGCATTGTTAGGTGCCAGGCTGTGTACCAAGGTTCAGGAAGCGCTTTCTTTACCCATTGACCGATGTAGATTCTGGTGCGACTCAACCATAGTCTTGGGTTGGCTCTCTACTCCAGCTAATCAATTAAAACCTTTTGTGAGAAATAGAGTCAACGAGATACAGGAGAGCACTTATGGTCATACCTGGAGCTACGTACCGTCGAGGGACAACCCGGCGGATCTTGTTTCCCGTGGTCTTAGCTGACGTTATCAAGGACACACCACTGTGGTGGTCCGGACCCTCTTTTCTGTTGCGTAATGAAAATGAGTGGCCTAAAATGCCAAATACAGAGAAACACGATTTGCCGGAGGTAGTGACTCATTTCACATGTAGTGATAGCGACCATCATGTACTTAGTAATCATTCACATTCAACCATATATTCATCTATCATTCATCGATTATTAGAAAAATATTCTAGTTTTCCAAAAATTCAAAGGTTGTTTGCATATGTACAAAGATTTATACATAATCTAAAAAATAAAAATAAATTGTGTGGCGATCTTTCAGTAACAGAACTCCAAGATTCGTATAATGTAATAATACATTACTCACAGTTAGAAATGTTTTCTGAAGAATTTCATCTTTTAAAATCTGAACAAAAATTGCCACGCAATAGTAGATTGATTTCTTTGACTCCATTCATTGACGATCATAACCTCATCCGCGTGGGCGGGAGGCTTGATAACTCCCCTTACGATTTTAGTGTAAAGCATCCCATAATAATATGCAGTAAGCACATACTTACTAAGCTTATATTTCAAATTAAACATTTAGAGCTACTACATGCCGGTCCTCAATTACTATTGTCACATATAAGACAGACTTATTGGCCTAAAGGTCTGGCGGTAGAAAATCGGCCTGGTGGTAGAAACCTTTCTAGAAATATCGTGAATAAATGCCTTAAGTGTTTCAGACATAAAGCTCAAAGCGTTCAGCCTATAATGGGTCAACTACCTCAGTCAAGAACTCATCTCGAATTTCCATTTTTAAATTGTTATGTTGACTACGCTGGGCCAGTATTGGTGGTCGATCGCAGAGGTCGCGGCTGCAAACTTACAAAATCTTATATGTGCATTTTTGTTTGCTCTGCACTGAAAGCCGTACATTTGGAGCTCGTCAGTGACCTCACCTCTGAGGCTTACATGGCCGCTTTAAATCGTTTCGTGGCGCGTCGAGGCAAGCCTCAAAGCATTACGTCCGATAACGGGACAAATTTCGTAGGCGCATCAAATGAAATGCATAGGTTCTTGCATTCATCGAGTGTTGCATCTGAAATCGCACAACAGGGTATCGAATTTATTTTCACGCCTGCTTACAGCCCACATTTTAATTCACTAGCTGAGGCTGCTGTTAAATCTTGCAAACATCATTTAAAAATACTTTTAAAGCTTATCCATTTTACCTTTGAGGAGATGGTTACTTGTCTTACGCACATAGAGGCGGTCTTGAATTCGCGTCCTCTTACTCCTCTCTCTTCAGACCCTAACCATTTTTCGGCACTTACTCCCTCTCATTTCCTGATTGGACGACCACTCTTATCTGTACCACATTCCCAGGTGACTGATGCCAACATCACGCGACTGGATCGCTGGAGGAGAATACAGTACATCAGACAGCATTTCTGGAGCCGATTTCATAATGAATACATCTCTCTGCTGCAGGCCAAATCCAAGTGGTTTCATTCCAGAGGTGAAGTGAAGCAGGGGTCTTTAGTTCTTATCAAGGACAAGATAACACCACCGCTGCTCTGGTCTCTGGGCCGGGTCATGACGACCTATCCCGGCGTAGACGGAGCCACGCGAGTGGCTGAGTTGAAGACGAAGCGAGGCATCATTCGTCGTGCTGTCAACTGCATCTGTCCTCTGCCAATTGAAGATTGAAGACGTCTCTTCAACCCGGGGAATATGTCGGCGCACGTCATCGCGCCTTGGCCAAAAGTGGAGGATGCGGGGGGCGCGGACCGGTCGTTAACCCTGCGACAGCGCAGGCGTTTCTGTCGGACACTCAGCTGCGAGACGCGGTAGCAGACGGGCACTTCAGTATTCAATTTGCGTCATGTTTGTTCAGAGTATTTTTACGGCATTATATCTATAGTTAAATACAGTCCACTTATTTTATTTACAAAGTCCTGATAAGGCCTAAACAGTACATGTGTGGAAATCTCTTATAATATGGTGCTGTGTTTTATATGGTGATAGACGAGCACCGGAGATATACTGGCAATGAGCCATTTCATCTTAGTCCTCGAAGGTGGGATTGTGACATGGTATCTATATGTCGTCTATTAGACGTAGCATCCCTTTATTAGCTTACAGATACGGCGTTATGTCTCTTCTCTACATAGCATAAAACAAAGTTGTTTTCAGCCGTCTGTACGCTTAGATCTTTTAAACTACGTAACGGATTTTGATGTGGTTTACACCAATATACAGAATACCAAGATAACTTAATAAAAAGGTTTATATGTATAATATATTCATATCATATATTATATAATTCTTCTATCCGTGTGTATGTAACTAAACTCCTCCTAAATGTCTGGACAGATTTCGATGAAATTTTGTGTGTGATTAAGTTGATTAGAAAATGGTTTATATTCCCAATTAGACTCGGTAGGTGGCGTTGTTGTCGAGATCCAGAAGAAGCCGGGGCGAATCACAAGTATGAAATAAAATAGAAAACATTTCATACTAGCGAAAGTAACTAGAAAACACACGCGATAGTAGTGAAAACATTGAAATTTCTAAGAAAACCTCACCTATCATTGTATCCATAAAGGTACGCCGCAGGTACTGTTAAAATTAGCAGTCTATATGCGATGTGTGCTGTATGACTATGTGTTGAATTGGACGTAGTTATGCAAAAAGGCTCCAACCCGCGATAAGTTAATTTGCGTTTATGATATTTGAAGTATCCATACTTCAAATAACATAAACTCAAATTATCGGTATGGTTTCTGTCTGTTTGTAATTTTTCTTCTTATTTGTGTTACGTTTGCTAAAATTGTTAAATCACATAATAGTAGGTATAGACCACAAACATTATTTTTCAAAAATTTTTGACACAAACACGGGTTGGATCCTTTTTGCATAACCACGTCCAAATAGTGTATATGTGTATATATAGTATGAATATAAAAAATATTGAAGCAATTTTAATATTTAGCTGATATGGACCTCATAACAAACTTTGTACTAAATATGTAGAAATAAAATAATAAATTAGATGTTGGTAGATGTTAGTATATGTATATGAAATTATACTTCAGATTATATAAACAGAAGCATGTAAGACGAGAACTATTGCCGACAAACTGTAATGCTGTTTGGCAGATGAAATTAAAAACGTTTATTGTATAATTGGAAGAAAATAAATTTAAAAAAAAACCTTCAGAAAAAAACACCGAGATAACAGGATACACTGTATACCTGTATACTGTATTCTATCTCATTCTCACGCAGACTAAATCGTATAGATGTATATGTTTGTCTCTTTTTAGTATCTCTTTGTTGTTTCATCGAGTTTTAAATCAACGATCATAAAGAACTTTAAAAAATTACAATGAAATCTCGCTATCTGAGATCTTATATAAGCCGGTTAACTTAGTTTATAAGGGCGACAAAGCATCTGCATTTCGTCTATGTACTACAGCATCCCTTTACTATCGTACTATTATATATTCTGTGCTATCACATGGACTGTGTGCACATGTGTCGATCCTTACATGTATGAAATAAAATAGTCTAATAAATTTTTCCATTTCTGAGGTTAAATTAATTCTCAAAAGTATTTAATAATATAATTTAAAATTAAAAATTTTGTACAACCTTCTTCAATATATATTATTAAAGATAACTCAAAAGCTATTGATTAGACCTTGATGATTCATATGGGACCACACGAGAAGCACCAGATTTCAAATAAAAGAAGAATCATCGAAATCGGTTCACTTAGTAAAAAGTTATGAGATAACACACATAAAAAACATACAGTCAAAAGGTAATTGAGTACCGTCTCCTTTTCGAAGTCGGTAGAAAAGAACACTACCCGGTAACAAAGACTGCTTACTATCAGGACCAATTAACAACACAACAATTATGATAACACCAAAGTGTATAACCCAACAGCATCACTACCCATCTCAATATACATAGGGAAGCCTCTCCGCAACACGACATCCCTTGCCTACACTAGTAGAACACCCCAACGGGCATAGTAACGACACTGAAGCTCGTAGAATTGCCGATTGATGCCTCTAAGTATTTTTTTGCGCCTAATGCAAAGCTACCCCCCGGAAACGGGAGGGGGAGGTGGTGAATGCTCATAGCATATCACGCAGCCGGCTGCGTGGTTATATGGGGCTCACTATGAAGTGCCTACCCACTAAACACCACCTGTGGGACTGGCATTGGCTTGTATGACCTTTCTGCCGAATCGGAAGCGACCCCCTTTAGGGAAAAGGGGGCGCAGATAATGCCTCTAATTCGCGCGATACTTTATACTGCTTGAACGGGTGAGAGAATGTCGTTCTATCATCTTTTGTTCGTATTTCATTTTATTTTTTTACCCTCATTCCCAACAATAGATACTGTAAACAAAAAATAACAATGAAATCTTGTAATCTCAGATCTTCTTTAAGCTGGTTAACTTTTCAAGTATTCCTAAAAGATACCAGCTTAAATATAACTTAGTTAACTAATTGCCGGGGACTCCACGATCTAATGATGTTAGTTTGATGTTTCTGTTTGTGAGGGAGCTCTTAAGTTATTACTTTTAAATACTGTTGATCACAGAGTAATTTTTGCACAGAGACACAATATTAATATTTTATTTAAAAATAATAAGTGTTTATTAAGAAAGAGATACCATCTTAGTCCTCAGGGGTGACAACACATGTTCATTTTGATTCTTAAGCAAGGATAAATGTGGATAGTCTACCGGCCACAGCATCCACTTACCATCAGGTGGACTGTGTACGCGTTGGTCACGATTATTTTTTGTAGAAACCTACATCTATAGACTACCTGCTTTCTTTCTTAGGTCACTCTATTTAATGAGGGGGTTGCCCAACACTGTCAGTACTACATCAACCCTCGAGAACCTTTATTCCCCATCGGTTGTCCGATCTACAAGCCATAAGGCCCATTTTAGGTAACTGATCTGTTGGGTTAAGTCTGTTAGCTTGTGCTACTGATATAATTGTTACGGAGTTTATCACCAAAAATAATTTCTGAAGATAGCCCTCTCCATCAAGCGAGTTACTTGCAGTTTCTTCACACGGCCAATTGGAAAGACCACGATTCATTTCTGAGAGATTTCTGGATAACTCGGTATTTAAATAATAAACACTGTGTGACTTCATAACATGTATTGAGCGACTCACTCGAGAAGACGCGCGGTGGCGCCTACCTACATAATACAATATTGATTTATACCTACATATATCACACCTCCCTTCTTAATATATGGTATTATCAGATATTATTAAGTAAGGTACATAAATTATGTAATCACAAATTTACTTATAATAATACCTTAACTATATAATACATTTTTAAATAAAACTAATTTTACGGATTTTATCGCGTATATTAACTTATTTTTAACTTATTTTTATATTCCCGACGTTTCGGGTGCTTTCCAGCACCCGTGGTCACGGGGGACTGAGTTGTTTGACGTCCTGCTGTCATAGTTAGCCCGGCTACCTTCAGTTTTTTAATATTAATTTTTGGTTCGATTTACGCAGAATGAGCTTACAGTATCTTGAAGTCTAGCAGTGGTATACTTGGGTTTGGATTTGATTTTATTAATTATGGGATCCCAAGCAGATGGCAGCACCCATCCATCTTCTCTATTGAAATTAGGATGTTTTTTAATTTCAATAGCCTCGCGAATCATCCTTGGGAGGAATCGGTGTTCTTTTGCGAGGATTTGTGGTCTATCAAATCTAATGTAATGACGGGGACGATCCTGAACATGTTCACAAACTGCAGACTTCCCGATACGTCGATGCTTCACGTCAGCTATATGTTCTTTAACGCGGGTTTTAATAGATCTTTTTGTTTGTCCTATGTACGAGAGACCACATTCACAATCCAGCTTGTACACTCCTGCATCTTGTAGAGGGATATGACACTTGACGGATGGTAAAAATTGACCAATCTTCTTCAGCGGCTTGAAGTACGTTTTAATGGAAGCTCGCTTCAAGATGTAGCCAACCTTGTCTGTGACTCCTCTGACATAGGGTAGTACAGCAGGCACACGCTCGACTGTGGCTGGCTTCACTCGGTCACTGTGACGTAGGCGCGGGACCCGAAGCTTGTTGTCTTGCAGTACTTGCTCGACGTGCTGAAGCTCGGCGGCCAGATGTTTTCTGTCACAGATCCCTCGTGCTCTCTGAAACAAAGATTTTCCCACGGTAGCTAACTGTGAAGGATGATGGTGAGATTCACCATTTAAATATCGGTTGGTATGGGTATTTTTTCTGTACACAGTATGACCAATAGTGTTATCAGGATTTCGGATGACTAAAACATCTAGAAAAGCTAAAGTATTGTTTGCCTCTAACTCCATTGTGAATTGTATTTTAGGGTTTATGGAATTAAGGTGGTTTAAAAATGCAGTTACTTTGTCAGATGGTAAAATTGTGAAAGTATCGTCTACGTACCGCTTGTAGAATCTTGGATTTACAGGAGCAGTAAGAAGGGCTTTCTCCTCAAAGTCCTCCATGAATATGTCGGCGACCACGGGAGATACAGGTGAGCCCATTGCCACTCCATCTACTTGCATGTAGAACTCTTCTTTCCACAATAAATAGCCAGATGTGAGGCAGTGTTTGAGTACTACTGCATATTCTGTAGGCATGTTGTTATCTTCTAGCTTTCTAGTAACAATTGAGATGCAGTCTTCAATAGGTAGGCATGTGAATAGTGACTGAACATCAAAACTGACCATAGTTTCATTGTCAGCGAGATGTAGGTCTTTAATCTCACTAACAAATTGGTATGAATCCTTTGTGTGTGCTCTGGTATGTCCTCTTAGTGGTGACAGTATTTTCGCCAAGTGTTGAGCCAACTTATAAGTTGGTGAATCGATCTGGCTTACTATAGGACGTAGTGGAGCGTTTGGTTTGTGTATTTTCGGTAACCCATACAACCTCAAGCCAGTACTTCAAGCCGCTGAAGAAGATTGGTCAATTTTTACCATCCGTCAAGTGTCATATCCCTCTACAAGATGCAGGAGTGTACAAGCTGGATTGTGAATGTGGTCTCTCGTACATAGGACAAACAAAAAGATCTATTAAAACCCGCGTTAAAGAACATATAGCTGACGTGAAGCATCGACGTATCGGGAAGTCTGCAGTTTGTGAACATGTTCAGGATCGTCCCCGTCATTACATTAGATTTGATAGACCACAAATCCTCGCAAAAGAACACCGATTCCTCCCAAGGATGATTCGCGAGGCTATTGAAATTAAAAAACATCCTAATTTCAATAGAGAAGATGGATGGGTGCTGCCATCTGCTTGGGATCCCATAATTAATAAAATCAAATCCAAACCCAAGTATACCACTGCTAGACTTCAAGATACTGTAAGCTCATTCTGCGTAAATCGAACCAAAAATTAATATTAAAAAACTGAAGGTAGCCGGGCTAACTATGACAGCAGGACGTCAAACAACTCAGTCCCCCGTGACCACGGGTGCTGGAAAGCACCCGAAACGTCGGGAATATAAAAATAAGTTAAAAATAAGTTAATATACGCGATAAAATCCGTAAAATTAGTTTTATTTAAAAATGTGTAGTGTTCGCGTAAATATAAGAAATCATTATATATAATACATTATCTATAAATCTAATAAACTAAACTAAACTTAGTTACTACATCTAATAAACTAATAAACTAAGCTAAACTTGAAACCTAACTTAAACCTAACTTTACTTATAATAATACCTTAACTATATAATACATTATCTATAAATGTAATAAACTAAACTAAACTTAGTTACTAAATCTAATAAACTAATAAACTAAGCTAAACTTGAAACCTAACAACAGGTTTACGAACTCGCCCGGATCGGGCTCGAGGCGGTTCAGGCGACGGTGCACTAGGTGACGTTGGCGGTGTACTATAATCGATTCCAGGACTTTTAATGCGTTCACTCGAAACCCGTTTCCTCTCCTTTCCCGAATCACCCACAACCGTAGTCGGAGATGTGTCCGGGCCGTCGTCCTCCTTCGACATTCCGTCTCTCGCCGAGCCACTACTATCAGGTATTTGTACCCTCATTGACTCGCTTTGCTCCTCAGGGAATGGTATGTCGTACAACCCTGATCTGCGCTTGATTTGATCCACGTGCTTAACTACTTGTCGACTGTCCCCCTTGTCCACAGAATATCTCCTCGAACCTTCGCCATGAACTATCGTTCCCTTCACCCACCTATCCTTGTGGCCGTACTCTCGCACCCACACAGGTTCCCCCGGTGCAAACGAGCGCTGCACCCCGCCCGTGTACTCCACTTGCTTACTTTGAGCCTGATTTACCTTATTTATGAGCGCGCGATCGCTTCGTAATAAGTCTAGCCGTGATCGTAACGTTCGTTTTTGTAACAGCATTGAAGGGCTTTCACCTGTGCTGCTGTGTATACTGTTACGATAAGTAAGTAAAAATGTTTGCAACGCGGCGTCAACATCGATTGATTCCCTATGTGCTTTTTTTATTGCTTTTTTACAAATATTTACAGCATTTTCCGCGGCGCCATTCGAAGACGGGTGATAAGCAGGCGAGAAACGTTGCTGAATACCATTTCGTGTTAAAAACTCCTTAAATTCCGCGCTAGTGAAGGGTGGCCCTTGATCCGATACTAGCTCTAGTGGTAAGCCGAATCTTGCGAACGTACACCGTAATACCTTAATAACCGCTGTAGCATTTGTTTTTGGCATTTCAAACACTTCTAGCCATTTCGTACTGGAGTCTATTAAAATAAGAAATTTTTTTCCGTTAAAAGGGCCTAAAAAATCTATATGGAGTCTGCTCCATGGCTGCAAATGGTACGGCCAAGGCTGCGGTGGGGTGCGCGGGGGTGCTTGTGACTCCACCGCGCACGTCTCACATGCTCGGCATTCGGATTCGACGTCTGTATCTATATTAGGCCACCATACGTAACTTCGAGCTATGGACTTAGTTTTAACAATGCCCATGTGACCAGTATGTAATTGCATAAGTATTTTTTTTCTTAAAGTGCGCGGTATCACCAAGCGGTAACCCCACATAATACAGCCCCTATCTATGTATAGTTCATTACGTTTAATATAATATTGCTGCAACACTTCTTTTGGGCAGGACGCGGGCCATCCGGACTGAACATAGGTTAAAATTCTACTTAATTCCGGATCGCTTGCTGTTGCCGTTCTGACGTCATCATTTGTGACCGGGAGAAAATTTTCTACGAAATTAATGTAATTCATTTCCTCCGACTTCGGAAGCCGTTTATGTACCGGTTGCGGCAAACAAGATAACGCATCTGCACAATTTTTGTGTGAACTTACATATTCTATGTCATAATTGTATCCCGACAATAATACTGCCCAACGCTGTAATCTCGAAGCGGCCATAACTGGAATGCCCACTTTACTGCCGAAAATATACGTCAAGGGTTTGTGATCAGTCCTTAAAACGAATTTTCTACCATATAAGTACTGATGAAACTTTTTAATACCGAATATTATTGCTAAGGCCTCTCGATCTATCTGCGCATAGGCCCGCTCGGCCGCGCTGAGCGTACGCGACGCATATTATGCGATCGGCCGCTCTCCCTCCTCAGTGATATGCGATATCACGGCGCCGACTCCGACCCCGCTGGCGTCCGCCGTCAGTACCACGGGTAAGTCTAACGTATAATGAGCAAGCACTTCGCTCGAACTTAATATTTTTTTTACTTCATTGAATGCCAATTGACACTCAGTACTCCACAGGAATCGAACCCCGGTTTTTAGCAAACGATATAACGGGGCCAGCAATGAACTAACATTTCGTACGAATTTACCATAATACATTACTAGCCCGATGAAAGATCGCAGTTCTGAAATATTGGTGGGTGCAGGCGTGTTTACAATTGCCCAGACTTTTTCCGGACACGTGTGAACACCCTCTTTACTAATGACGTGCCCTAAGTAGTTAATAGATTCTGCGAAAAATACACATTTTTCTTTCTTAACGCGCAACCCGTGAGACTGCAATCGCTCGAACACTTTATATAAATTTTTTATGTGACTACGACTATCAGGACCCGTTATAATTACGTCATCTAAAAACACACCCACGTTCGGTAACCCTGTCAATAATTCTTCTAAGTATTTTTGAAAAATTCCTGGACTCGACGACAAGCCGTAAACTAGTCGATTGTACATGTATAAACCCTTATGTGTATTGATAACCGTATACTTTTTTGATTCGTCAAGCTCAAACTGAGCGTACGCCTGAGATAAATCAATCTTACTGAAACGTTCACCGCCATGTAAACGCGATAACAAATCATCTATGCGTGGCAAGGGATAACGGTCGACTTCTAGCACTTTATTCAGTGTTAATTTATAATCAGCGCATATTCTAATATTACCATCCTTTTTGAGAACGGGTACAATGGGTGTGGCCCAGTCGGAGCGCTCCACCGGCGTGAGGACGCCGTCTCGCACCAGCTGCTCGAGCGCTCGCTCCACCGGTTCCCGCAGCGCATACGCCAGAGGACGCGCGCGCATGAACACCGGCCGCGCCCCCTGCCGCAGGTGGATGCTAACCCGCCCGCCGCTGAACCGTCCAAGCCCATCCGCAAATACTTCACTGAATCTATACATAAAATTACTTTCGTCAAAATCCTTATAATTAACATTGTTTACATCGTGATACTGAAACACTGGTAGTTGAATTTTAAGTTCGGCTAACCACTGTCGACCCAAAAGAACGGTTTTACCATCTCTGATTATGAACAAATTTAATTTTTTTTGTGTATTTTTATACCTCACTAGTGGCGTAGCCACCCCCACCGGACGAACTATTTCACCTGTGTAATATCTAAGTAAAACATTACATTTGCTGATAGGTAAATCACTAAAATTATGTTTATAAAATTTGTAACTTATACAAGATACGGCGCTACCCGTGTCACACTCCATGTCAATATCTTTTCCGTGAACGTTGATTGAAATACATAGCGGTGTACACTCTTCTATGGATAATTTTTTTATATCAAATATTCTTACCTCGTCACTGTCCGTCTCGTCCGATTCGACCACTTTAGGTGTTCCGATGTCTACGTGATGGTACGTCGTCAGGTTTGGGCACATCCGACGTAGATGCCCCTTACGATTACATACTCTGCACACATATGCCGCGAACCGACACTTCGTGCCGCCATGGGGTCCACCGCACGCAGCACATTGTTGTGCTCCGTCCGCTGCTTTTCCTTGCTGCCGCTGCCACCTCGATGCCGTAGGTGCCGTCCTCCCTGGCCGACCGCGTCCGTTGCCACTTCGAGTCGCTGCCATCGCCTGGCACTCAGCCGTGCTCGAGCTGCCCGACGATTCACCTTGCCCGTATCCTTCCACAGCCGCTGCATCCTTCTCCGCCGCCTCCATGTTCACTGCCAAGCTATACGCTTTCCCATATTCCAACGTGCCTTCTGCGAATAGTCGTTGCCTTATCGTTTCACTTAGAATACCGCACACCAGCTGATCTCTTAAACTTTCTTCCAACCATTGACCAAATTCACAAGATTTCGACATTCTCTTCAATATTGCTGCATACTCAGCTATTGTTTCACAACTTTTTTGTTTCCTATGCCGGAATTTATATCTTTCTGCGAGGGTACTTGGTTTTGGTTGGAGATGTTTTTCTAGAATGTTTGTGATTTCCAAAAAAGATTTATCTTTTGGTTTGGTTGGAGTACATAAATTCACTAACAGTTCGTAACACTCGGCTCCCATCACGGTAATTAACGTCGGAACTTGTAAATCCTCCGAAATTTTGTTGACAACAAAATATTGTTCGAGGCGGTCGACGTATGACCTCCAATCGTCCTTATGTAGGTCAAACTCAGGAATTCTTCCAATCGACATTTTAATTAAATACTTGTCGTTTACAAATACTTTTCCAAGAGTTCGTTGCTATCCTCGTCGCCACTGAGAGATTTCTCGATAACTCGGTATTTAAATAATAAACACTGTGTGACTTCATAACATGTATTGAGCGACTCACTCGAGAAGACGCGCGGTGGCGCCTACCTACATAATACAATATTGATTTATACCTACATATATCACAATTTCCATGAGTTATCACTTGCAACTCAAACTGATTGTACACTTTTGTTTTATGGCTTTGAAGTACATCGAACAAGAAGATTTGTCGCAGTTAATAATTGTTTTTAATATACTTAGTGTTTAGGCAGGAAAAATTTACAATAAAAACGTAGTTTTTAACGCGCGCGTTTGGCCTCGATATCAAGGGCACCTTCCCTCTCCCCCGCTCCCCCCCCTGGCCGCCGAACGCGTCGGCGTGGCACTTCTCGTGAATATAGTAGGATTTTCTTGCGAGCTATACGGACGTATGTTTTCGCGCCTAACTTTGCTAAAGGAACAATCCGCGTAAATCGTTGCAATAACGGTATCGTTATTAGAACGTACTAACTCGGTTAAATTCGCGTGCAACTATCACAGTGATTTACCTCTGAAGGACTACGAGTAGCTGTCCCATTTCGTGACAACCCATTACGAGTGCCTCCAGAAGGGGAAAGTTCCGGGGATACCAGCGCGTGCCTTCTCCCGGACGTCGTTGCGTCATCCAGATCGGTTCCCGTCAACATACCAGCACATACAATTACACATACACTCACAACACTGTCATCAGCCGGGCCGGTCGAGGAGAATCGCCTGCGCTCCTGGGGCAGGTAAGTGCATTTATCCTAGTGACCTTTCCCCTCGTGTGTTCATTAGAAACATTTGACCCTCGGCGTAGGAACGCCCGACCAGCATCTGCCCGTAGCTCCTTCGTCTATGGGCCGCGAAGGATCCAACTCCTGTTGAGGCAGGGCAGCTGTTGGCCGTATCATTTGGTAGCAGAACGCGGTGCTGGGATCGATTCCCGGTCGATCCACCGACCATAGTATTTGATAAAAATTAAATAATTTGGTGGCAGGAGCGTTGGGTTGATTTTGTGGCTACAATCACGCCCGTCCGTAATACGTAAAATACCTTTTTATTATATACGTAATAATAAAATTCCTTTCTTTGTTAGCTTGCTTTGTTGTTAGCGGGTAAATTTGAAAGGCCGCGCCCGGTTCGCGCGCAAGCGGGAGATTGCGTCATGTAGGTAGATGGTTATTTTTACGTAATCGGTTAATTGTCGTTGTCGGATGGTAGTGTGTTACTTATCGAAGGGTTGATTTCCGAGCAAGGCATTTTTGTTGATGTGTATCTTCGTTATGTATCTTTCGTATTGTAAATTGTATTTGAACTAAAGAGTGGTAATTTGTATTTACGTAATTTAAATTAACTTGATTTGATCGTACTAGTATTTGTTATTGTTAATTTGATTTACCTTTTCCTTTGTACTAACTTGTGTTTGATTTAATAATAGCGGTTCTTATTTGTGTACATTCTATTCAACTCGATTTGATAGGAACTGCATTAGTTAGCTGTTAATTTTTTTGTATTTTTTATTTGTTATTGTTGTAATTGTGCTCGAGCCGCGTCGTAATTTGGATTTAGTAGTGATGTCCTCGCCCAAGATGCTAATCCGTTGCCTGCGGACTGAGCTGCGCTGGGCTACCAGCGCACACGCGTTGATAGGCCGACCGGACAGGGTCTACAATCTGAGGAAGAGGCTTGAGCAGGTCGATGCTCGAAGGGCGGCCGTGGAGGAGGCTTACTCTGAGCTCGAGGACTTGGAGGTGGAAAAGGGAGTCCTGGAATCTTGCCGCGCGGACTACGAGCAGTTCCTCGCGCTAACGGACGACCTGATCGAGGCGGGGGCCAAGGATGCGGAGAGGGAGCGCGAAGCTCGGCTGAGTAGCCTTCTCGAGTCCCCGCGGAAGCCGTCTGCTCAGCCAGAGCTGCTAGGACGACTTCCGACGCTGGACCTGCCAAGGTTCTCCGGGGTCCTCTCGGAGTGGATGACCTTCGTCGGCCTGTTTGACAGCCTGGTGGACGCCCGGAGGGACCTGACCCCCTGCCAAAAAATGGGGTACCTCCTGGCTTCACTAGAGGGGGAGGCCCTGAGCGTCGTCGGCCACCTTAAGTTGTCGGACGACGCCTACCAAAACGCCAGGGACCTCCTCGCTGGAAGGTACGCCAACGTCCGGCGGATTGGATCATGTTCGGAGGCTGCTGAACCTCCCGCTGCTGAAGGACCGGACTAGACTACGTGAAGACATAGTGAATCCAGTCGTCGTAGCGTGCAACTCGTTGCGGCGGCTGGATTTACCTGTGGACGAGTGGTCTTTTCTGCTCCTTCATATAGTGCTGTCCCACCTGCCCCTCGACCTTCGGCTCCATTTTGAGGAGAGGTTCGGAGGGGATGGCGCCTCTTATATGCCCCCCTTTAGGGACCTGCTGCGGTTCCTGGAAGAGCAGTGCAGGCTGCTGGAGAACGCAGCAGGCGCCGTCGAGGGCCCCCCGGCCGCCTCCCGAGCGGTGCCCAGGGAAAGGCGGAGTCAGCCGGCCAAGGCGGCGCCCACCCCCCTGAGGCCGAGTGGAGCCCCCGCGGGAGGGCGCCCCCCCGTACCCTCCTATAGTGGCCTAGCGGCCCGGGAGGCGCCTCCCTGCTCCTATTGTCGAGCATCCGACCACCGGCCGGCGTCGTGCCCGAAGTTGTTGCGCAAGCCGGCTAAGGCGAGGCGAACCATCGCCAGGGAGCGCCGCTGGTGCTTCTCGTGCCTGGAGAGGCATTTACAACGAGACTGCCCGCACCAGCGGCCCTGCACGCACTGCCAGGGCAACCACAACGTCCTCTTGTGCCTGGGTGCGCGCGGCTCGTCCTCGCAGGGCCCTGCCAGCCCCCCGACTCCCACGGGCGGGGGCGCCCAGCCACGCCCACTGTCGGGCGACGCTCGGCGCTCACCGGCGGACCACAGCGCCCCTCCTTCTGAGGGGAGTCCCTCCCCCGATCGGTCTGGGAGTCGTTCCCCCAGGGGCGGGGGGGTCTTCACCCCCCCTCCTCGAGTTGATAGTGGATTCGCGGCCACTCAGCGGTCAGCTAGACCTTTCTCACCCCCGTTGGCTGAGTGGCCGCGACTGGAACGCCGCCCGCCCCCCTTTGGCCGGTGCCGGTACTACCGGGTTCCGGAGACTGCGTATCGGCCCCGGGCCTTGGAGCCGAAGATCCCCGAGTTTCCCTCGGTCGGCCCGTTCGGGGAATTCCAGTCGGGGGTCATCGAGACGCCGTCGGAGTGCCGCGCTCGGGGCCCCCGGTTCGGGTGCCGGCCTAACAGAGGCAGCTCCAGATAGGAGGCTGCCGCCCTAGCTCCCGCCATGGTCGCCTCCACTGAGCCTATAAGTCGTCAGCAGTCCACCTGTCAAACTGTTCTATTGCCGACAGCCTCAGTGAAGGTTTACAACCCGAGCGGCGACCACTTAACGGTTCGAGCTCTATTGGACTCGGGTTCCCAGCGTAGTGTGGCCTCTACTCGGTTGGTGGGAAGACTGGGGCTCCCCTGGAGCTCTGAATCACGTCCGATGGTAGGTATCGGAGGTGCCGAGCCTCCTGCTCCTAGGGGACAAGCGGAGTTGGTGTTCAGCCCTGACAGCGAACACCTTCGTATTTTAGTCAAGGTAAATGTCCTCGACGACATTGTAGGGTTCCTCCCTAACGTTCGTATAAATGACAGCGCTGTGCGCTGTGCGTCGGCTTTGAGACCGGCAGACCCTCGGTGGGCCCAACCTGGGCCGATAGATTTGTTACTGGGGGCCGACACGCTGGGTGCCCTCTTGTTAGGTGAGATACGAGCTCTGCAGCCCGATGGCCTGTCAGCCATTTCCACGATATTTGGGCACAGCTTTTTTGGACCGGTTATGTGGTCTCCTCCCCCTCCGACGGCCGACCCGCTCTCCGTAGTGGGCGTGTCCTTATCGGACGCCGTCCAGCGATTCTGAGACATTGAGGAACCACCCCATGCAGCTCGAGTCGACCCTCTGGACCGTGAGTGTGAGTTGTTCTACCAGAACAATACCGGCCGGCGGGTTGACGGTCGTTTCGTCACTCGCTTACCCTTTCTGGACTCCCGCCCCTCTTTGGGTCAATCCCGTGCTCTGGCCGAGAAGAGGTTGCTTTCCATGGAGCGCCGCATGCGGCGTGACCCAGCCTTTCGCGACAAATATGTCGAGTTCATGCGCGAGTATCAGGAGCTGGGTCACATGTCACCGTCCAACTTCGAATGGCGTTCACATGAGCACTACTTCCTCCCTCACCATGCGGTCTTGAGGACCCCTGAGAGTAAGATTCGGGTAGTCTTTGACGGTTCCGCCCCCACATCAAACGGTGTGTCCCTGAATCAGTGTCTTCACTCGGGTCCTAAACTGATCAAGGACATATCCGACATCCTGACCCAATTCCGTCGACACCAAGTGGTTTTTGTCGCGGACATTCGGATGATGTTTCGCCAATCGGTGGTACATCGTGATGACCGCCGATATCAGCTGATATTGTGGCGCGAGAAGCCCAGCGATCCCATACAGGTATTTGAGTTGAACACCACCACATATGGACTCCGGTCCAGCCCGTATATCGCCATGCGAACCCTCCTTGAACTCGCTGAGAGAGAGCGCCTGAGATACGCTCGGGGAGCTTCTATCTTGGAGACTTCGGTCTACATGGACGACATTTGTACGGGCGCTTCCACCGTCGAGGAGGCTCTGGTCTTGCGAGACGAATTAATTGCCATCCTGAAGTCTGGAGGCTATGAGTTGCGCAAGTGGTTGTCGAACTCCCCACACATTTTGAGGGACCTCCCAGGAGAGGATCAACAAGACCCTCATCTGTTCGAGCACCCTGAGAATCCTAATTTGTTGACTGTGCTGGGCATTAAATATCAGCCTGTTCAGGACACCTTCACGTATAGAGT